TGCTCGCCAGCACGTATTTTTAATCTTCCCCTCCTTTGCCCCCTCCTGGCGCTTCGCTGTGTCCCCATGTGCTGCAAGCGGAGGCTGAATTGATTTTAAACGTGGCCCTGCGTCAAGCCCAGGTCCCTGGGCTGCGGCCGGCGCGCGGAACTTGTTGGAAACACAATTTGCTCGTCTGTGTCTCTCTTTGCCGTCTCCACAGCAAGGCTGCAGTGGTCTGAGGCAAAGACGAGCGCAGGAATGGGTTGTACGGGCTCCAGCCCCAGCCTGCACCTTACCCCGACTGTGAAATACAGGGTCAGCTTTTACTTTGCACAGAGAGGTGCAGTAAATGAGGCCGGGGAGCCGCCCTGGGTGATGACGGGAACGCGCGCGGTGTTTTCTGTCCTTCCCGCCCATTGCAGATACCCGTTCCAGCCACCACGCCTGCTCGTCCCTATTGCACGCTGCGTGGGTCGGCCGCTCGCCTGCACCCCTCGGGGCTGGCATCTTTTGTGCCCTTTTCCCCTCGCAGCCAAGCCCTGCGCTGCAGACCGGGGCTCCCAGCTGCATCCTGGAGCCCGTCCATGGAGCGCTGGGGTGAGGATTTGTACTGGACATTGCCCCCCAGCAGGCAGCGCTCGTCTTCCCCCGTCCTTGCAGCACGCCGCGTCTGCCTTAGTGCTCCTCGAAACGCTGACGTGCTGGCGGTAAATATTTACTTCCTGCACGTCGACGTGAAGACGGCTCTGAGCCGTTAGTGCTTCGCGTTGCGTTTGTATTTAATTTGGAGTTGGTAATTGAGGCTGTTCTCAGAAATGGCTTCCCCGCCGCGGCGAGCAGCTCTGAATGCAGATACCCAAAACGTGAGCTCGGCGGGCTCCAGCGCAGCGCGGCACGAGGAGCTCTGCGGACAAGGGCTGGACTAGACGCCCTTTGATCCAGAATAAAGAGGCCAAACCCGTTTACTGCGGAGCCTGGATTCGGCGTGTCCTTAGGTGCACCCTGCCGTCGGCCCGGGGACAGCCGCTGCTCCGCATCGGGAGCCCGGAGCCAGCCTGGACCCGGCGCTGGGCTTCCAAAGCCATCCATCAGCAGCCGTAGTGCAGCCCCATCCCCGCATGAAAAGCTTCAGTGGCTTGAACTTCAAATAATTTATTTCTAAATTACTTCTACTGTAATTCTTATTAATTCAAATAGGCTTCTAAGCTGATGTAAAATTCAGTAAACGCAAGGAGCAGTTTAATGAATTGAAAATAGGATTGAGTCTTTTAAAGTAAATGTAAAAAAATATGCTAGCAATAATTGCTTAGATGGAAATCGAATCTTAATAGCTTTGTTAATGATTTGTAGTGAATATTGCGGTTATGAGAACGTATCAAGCTGATCCTTGTGCAAGAACCTTGTTTTGAATGGGTTTGATAAAATTATTCCCCAGCAGCAGTTAGGAGCCTTTAATGGTTTTGCTTGCGCCGCTTTTGAGGCGTTTGAGCGTGGCTTGTGCCGAGCCTGGCGCTGCCGCAGCCGTGGGGCTCCTCGTGGGCCGTGGCTCTGGGGACCGAGGGCGATGGCTCTGGGTGCCTGGGCTCCTGGTGTTGCAGGGGACGTGGGGCAAGGCTTGAACCGCTGGGTCTGGCACTGAGTCATGGGTGGGCTGACAGATGGGAGTCACTGAACGGGGTGTCCTGCCTGCGGTTGTGTTTAATCGGCTTTGAGCCCCCGGGGTGGGTGTGAAGGCTGCCAGCACGCAGACAGTAACTCTGTTTTGACAGGTTATGTGGTTTTATCCCCCGCCTTTGATCAAGTAGGTTGCATTACTTGACAACCAGGCGTATTACAGCGGTTAGGAGTACTCAAGGACGCTGTAGTAAGCGATGGCTGGGTGCTCATCTCTGATCTGAGGCCTTCAATGTCCCTGCCCATGGCAGGGGCTGCATGGGGTGATCTTGATGTCCCTCCCACCCCAAACCGTGCAGGAGCCAGGCCAATGCCCGTCTCTTGCGGTGGGGTCAGGGACTCATCTCTGGTGCGGGTTTTACTCTGTGTGGTGCCGCCTTTCAAAGCTCATCAATCTGGAGAAAGGAAATTTACACCAAGAGGGCAAAAAAAAGTGCCGAGTCCTCAACTCAGCACCATCACATCAGGCATGGGAAGGCGTGGGGCGGTTTATCAACCTCCCTTCTTCCCAAACAACACAAGCTGTTTGTCAAACGCTTCTTTCCAAAGCACGTCAACTAATAACAGTAAGTCAAAAGGAAAGAAAGATGGGGACAGTGCGGGATGAGAGGAAAACTGGAGTACGAATAACACCCATGCTCGGTGGCGATGGGGAAATCGGGATGCAAAGCGCTTGTTTGCAGTTCCCGTCCTCTCCAGCCTGAGGTGAGGGAAGTTTCTCGGCCTGCGTGTGGAGCGATGATTCAATTCATTAGGAGGAGAGTTTTGGAGGTGATGACCTGTAGACGATTACAAGGCTCCCGCGGCATAATTGCCTCGAGTTCCCTTCCTCCTGCCTCTGGCCATTAATAGCGCCCACTGATTACGCAGAGTGAGTAAAAACTGGTTCCCTAAAGTCTGTCTGCTCGAGTCAAAGGATAAATGCTTCTTAGAGCAAATTGTTCTTTCCGGGTAATTTAACAAAATTCATCTTTTGAGAGAGGCAGCGAATTTCTGCCTGCGTCTGGCGGGGAGGTCGCTCCCCACGGCCACTGGAGCAGTGGAGCGTGGGGGTGAGGTGGCCACCCAGACCTGTCCGTGTCCCCCATGGCCACTGGAGCGTGGGGGTGCAGTGGCCACCCAGACCTGTCCATGTCCCCCATGGCCACTGGAGCGTGGGGGTGCAGTGGCCACCCAGACCTGTCCGTGTTCCCCCTCGCCACTTGGGCCGGGGGGCGCAGTG